GCCTGCAGTGGCTTATTTTCTATATAATGAGGAGTGAACAAGATCTATGGTTTGGGTCGGCCCCCTATGGTTGGTTCAGATAGGAAAGAGGAAGGGGGGCAACCCTGACCATCCCCAAGAGGTGCCTCTCTAGCAGCAAAAACAAAGGTCTACTAAAGGTCCAACGCTTAATTTCCAAAAAACGTTGTACGAATTGTTTGCGCACGCGAGCTCCAGGCAGGAGCTTCCTGTCGTTCTAACCTACTAAACTCAGTTCATACGCCCCTCACGGCCCCTCACTTAACTAGTGCTGTCCCTTGGCCACCGCGGATGTCTGAGGCTCATTGAAGTGTGGCCTTTGCCAAGACGGGGCAACAAAAAGTTTTGTATAACAGACCTGCAGTCGAAAGAGGCCGGGGTTGGGGCCTTTGGGGGATGAGTCATTCGGATAAGTGCTGGTGTTTTTTGAGGAAGCGCCTGCGGCCTAATTTTTTTTGTTTGATATGTTTCCTTGTTTTGAGACTGAAGCAGATGAAGAGGTCAGAGCTGTCATGGCCTCAAATGAGCATTGAGGCCCTTTGGCCTTGGGATGCTTTGGGTCTTCACTACCTCTTACAACCAGTACTGCGTAAGAAAAAACTGTTGTTTTCTTGTGGCAAGGTGGTGCTTCTACGAAACATGTTTCCAGGATTCCTGAGCTCTCTGTGTCCCATGCCATAACTCTCGTGTTTGCATTCAGTTACGAGTTTGTCATATGTGCGGAAAGAAAGCCCTGCGGTGGGTAGGTTGCGTAAGCCTTTGTGGTGCGTAAGGTGCTGACTTGATACAAACATGCTTTGCATCACATTTGACTTGGTGCTGATTGGGTTTCTCTTGGGAAACGTTCCATAGGCACCTCACAGGTCCAGGAGAATCGTGGCACTTTTGTGCGCAAGGCGCGCATAAGCTCCGGCGTAGGCTGCGCGGATGTCTCATGTCAATCCATGAGTAGTAGCCCACATGGTTCCCTAAACCAAAAGCCTTTTGCGAACTGCTGGTGCCAACAGCAATGCATCGCGGACCAGGTCGACAACATCTTCAAATGTAAGTGCCATGTAAATGAGCTAGTCGAGCTAGTCCCTTTTCTACCATTTCGTTGTTTGCTTGTTCCATTGCTGTACAAAACAAATCGCGTAAGATCGCGTAAGCATATTCCTCACAGGTTCGCAGAAAAGTGTGCCAAATCCAGCTGCGCAAGGCCTCGTAAGCGTTTGGTTCCACCCAAATGCCGCGTAAGGCAAACTGCAGAGCCCATAAGAAAAACAATAAGCGCTGCGTAAGCACCCTCTTACAACACAGAAATCTAGGAGCAAGAACGCTACTAGGGGCTCCTGGCATCGCTACTAGGAGCTCCTGGATATCGAGCTTTTTCAAAGCTGACGTGGTCTCGCCTCGAATCGATGCTCCAAGGCCTTGAAGCCCGTCCTACGCTCCAAAGGCTTCAGCTGGGTCGACTCAGAGCCTTTCCGCGTCTTGGCCTTAGAAGATGCACGACTTGACCTATAGAATGACAATGGAAACACGGAAAGGGCATCAAAGTTTCAAAGAGAAAGTCATGAGTCTGAAAAGTTGCCGCGGTAAGCAAGAGCAGTCAGGGGCAAGACGGTAGTCTGTAGTAAAGCGGCGGGTGCGGGTTTGTGCTGCTTGGCGTGCTGGTGGCAAGTCTGATAAGTGTTTATTTTAGGAGGTGGCGTGCATTAGCCTGACATTGGGGACGGATTCTGAGCGTACAGAGCACATTGTCAGGGCTGTGGACGAGTGGCGAGGGAGATATTGTGTCGCGTGATACTTCTAGGAAAAGTAAGCTCAATAGAGACGAGTGTTCAAACTATGGACGGACTTCCAGATTTCTACAGGAAGGTACTCAAAAGTAGAGAAGTCTAAAGACATACTATCCAAGCTATTCCACACTTACTTATATATATGAAACAATTGGAGATTGAGAGAAGATTGTATGAAGCGGTATCGAAAGGGAAAAGCATTGTTTAAAGTTTCTATAGCAGCAAAGTATCCAAACGTAGAGGTTTCTACTTCGCACGGCAGCACAGACTTTGGTGTTGCTTGATGTCCTTAGTCGGTTGAACAAAACAAACTGTGTAGTAACGTGTACTAGTTCGCTTCAAACTCAATGCCGTTCCACAAAGGCTTGAAAGACAGCTTACAGTAACGCTGATTGTAAAGATATTGGTAACTGTTGTCCTTACTACGACTAGCTCAATGCATTGCGGTCTTCGGCACCCATGCTTGCGTGCTTCGTGCTTCGTATGAATTTTAATTCAGCTCATTCTATTATGGACCAAACTTCCACCAGTGTGTTAGAGTTCAACATCAGAATAAAAGGACAAAGCAAAAGACGCAGATGCACTAACTCTTACTTAGGTAGGACGATGATATGGGGGTTCGTTTTTTCTTGAAGTGTATGCAGCATACCGTACCCCAGAGTCAAACATCTTGGCCCCGGAACATTTCAAGACATACACAAATATCTAGTTGCCTTTTGATTTTCAGAAGGGCGAGGTTTCTCAAACAAAGGACCTAAAGAGGCCACGTGTTTGTATGTTATTGATGATACACCCAAACCAATGTTCAAGCAAGTCGTGCAACTATAAGGCCAGATAATGCAACGCCCTACCAGAAAAACCTCACTTGCAGGTTGGCTGGGCTAGCTCGACACATCTCGACAAATTGAAACTCGAACTCCCATTTCTTAATAGCCTAAGGCCTAGGGAGGGCCTCACCGACAATCATGACGAGCGTGTGCGTGTGTCTGAATATGTGCCTAGTTCTATATGTGCCTAGTTGGCTTCTTTGAAAAGGGTCACTCACCAAAGTTTCAGAATTGAATCAATACCCAAAAGTAGATAATTACAGCATGCATGCAGAGAGTTGATTGTCCAAAGCAGCCAGTATCAGACCAGAGAAGCCCACAGCACAGTGGCCCAAAAGAATAGCGGAACCGGTGAGTCTCAGGCAGTTTGCAGTGGCCAGCCGTACTGCAAAGCAATTGCAATTGCACCGTCTTTGTGCCAATGGGGTTATCTAATGTTATCTAAGAGATTCTAAGAGTTATCTAGTTCGAAAGTGTCCCTAAAAGTCTAGGAACCAAATGAATAGTGCGAGCGCTTCTTCAAGGAAGCTCCCCCGGCCCTCAGGCGGGCGTGAACTATCCTGCGTCCTAGGTAGTAGCTACTTGAGCTACTTGCTACCAAGCAACTATCTCCCTCTACGGCCTACCCCGCCAGGCTAAAAAACTGATTTGATACGTTCACAGTCATTCACCGTCAGCAGATCCAACGAGGTCAATGAATGGTCTCACGCTGGCAGATCACTGTCAGTGATACCGCAGGTCTCTGAGCAATAGTGGTGGCTTTGCTTACTTTGCTTAAAGCTGATCTGCATTTGCCAGGATTGGTGGTGGTCTGTCCTCAAGCCGGACCAACTCAACTTCCAAATTTGTCACAGCCATAGCTTGCACGAATGCTCTATAGTTTTAGTACTGTGACAGTACTGTGGTCAAACTTTTATAGAGCTGCAGCACGAGTGCTATGGATCGACAACGTGAAAGGAGCAGAATATTAGTCTTCGCAGATTGCTTGAGGTTATCCAGGTGCCAAAGGCATTTTTGAACGCGCTCGTCGTGAGAAGTGGCAGGAGATGATGCTTCTGTGGGGTTAAAGGGCAGCCAAGGCCCACTTGCTTCACAGGAAAGAATCTGATGTTTGCAGGAGCCTTGGGGCGACCGACGGCAAGAGATTGTGTTTATTGGCGGACCGGACATGAGCAACGTTCGCATAAGCAGGCCCGCCTCTCAGTTGCTGCATGTGAAGACCAATATTGAGCAATAGCTTTCATTTGGGCTTTACTAAAGTGGTCTACTGTGAGCAGGATGGGCCTCCCTCAAAAACCCGGCACCTTTTGATTTGCGGCTAAAGTAGTCTAGAGTCTAGACATGATACTAATTTAAAGTAGTCTACACTAGATGGGGGCCTCCCAAAACAGATATGTCAGATATGTATATATATATAGCACACTTGAGTTAAGTATTAGCGTATCAAATATGAACTTCGCATATGCATTTCCTGACGACACGAGTGTTTGCGACAGAAGCTGCAGATTTTATCATTTTGTTAGGATCCTGGATGATTGCTTGGTCACCGACGATGAGCTCGAAGACTTCAAGCAACGTGAACACTTCGGTAGATATGTGTGTGGATGCGTGATAAGCAGCAGCATGTTGGTCTTCCAGGTACCATGGACACGCACCCACCTGATACGTACTTTGGTGTTGAAGCCCGCCTCTGAGATGTGGAATGCATCAGACGGGTGCCTAGATTTGTTTAATTTTGCTGAGGGCTTGTTGCGACAAATGGGAGAAGATCCAGAAACGTTTCGAGGAGGCCACAGCGATAGCTGTATGTCTCAATCAGTGTTTGAGGTGAGGATGCAAGGATCCTTCTCCCACACTAAGGCAGCCCAAAAGAGGAGAATGGCACAATAGATGCGATAGCCTGAGAGTATTCCACGAATCACAGATACAATTGAGCCGCACTTGCGATTCGGAAGCTTGAGCCCAGGTTTCCGCGGTGCCTCCATGAGAACACTCAAAAGAGAACTGCTCGTGTGTGCAAAAGCATCAAGCGGCTTTCAAGGTCTGATTTCTTGGTCGAGCCAGTCTGTATTGATCCATTTATATACTTCTAGTGGACACAAGTCTATAACTGTCGAGATATAGCATAGCTGCATGACATGGGTTTTAATGCTTTAACCCTTGTGGCAGTGACAATGCAATTGTTTTCTCTGTTGCTGCAGATTTCAATTCAAGCATAGATGGGGAAATTGGTACAGTCTTGTGCATGAGGCGCCACATGTGTTGGTACATGTGGTCCACATCTCTCATACTCTTGGCCAATCTTGTCAATACAGCTGCGAGATGCGATTTGGAGATTCCGCCAAGACCAAGGCAGGAGAAGAAGCTCAAAGTGATGAAGAGAAAATGGGTGTCTCATCAATTGGTGTCTGAGGTGGCAGCGATTCTCCTTGAAGATGTCTTGATGTATGATGTAGAAAGGTATGAACCTGAGTCCTCCCCTCTCGATGACCTGAGGGCCTTGTCTCTGGAGGAGGCAGATGTGAACTTTGAGGTTTGGCAGGGAGGGAAGGAGGAAGAGCTGCAGAAGTGGGTGCGTGATGGATCAGCGAGGATCACTGGTAGCCACTCGATGTTGGCCTATGATGGCATACACACCCTCAAGCATACCATCGAGCGCTTCCCTGAAGCGGAGTTCTACCAGTACCTTCAAACCCCACAGATGCAATGGGTCTTTGCGAGTCATTCATTCCAAAAAGGGGAGGCGACTGCAGATCCTGTCGGCCTGTGTTCAAATCCGGCATGGAATTGCACCAACTTTGTCTGGCAGCCTCCATTGTGTCGGAATGGCACAATGCGTTGCTTGGGACAAGTCTTGCATGATTATCCTCACTACACCCAAGGAGTGATTGAGCAGCAAATTGCAAACAATGGTCTGCCACTCTCTACAGTCTACTTGACGCCTCTGTCTAAGCAAATCGCTGTTTGGAATGCCTTTGCATCCAAGAAGGACATCCTCTTTCAGCACCACTCTCCCTCAGAAGGAGTTGATGGTGTCCCTCGTTCTGCCTTTGTACCGATTCAGTTCTCGCCAACTAGGTATGGATGCAACGCAATCGAGAATTCTTCTCCCAACGGTGGCTTCAGCTGTAGACTAGAGGCAAAACGATTGCTTAAAGTGGCCTCCTCCACGTTTATGGAGTCAGGAGATGCCAGTTATTTTGCCGAGAGGTTCAACCTGAATGAAGACAGCTACAATCGACTTTTTGATTTGTGGCGAGTGCATGATGGTGATGCCTACTCAGCTGCTTGCGGCTGGCTCAAAGAGACAGGAAGCTCTAAATGGGGAAGCTGGATTCGATTCAGTAAGCAGGTGCGCTTCATTCGTGAATTCCCTCCCACCAACGGGTGCTTTCCAGTATTTTACCTGTTCTTGATCTCGGCTTTGGCTATGGCTTTCATGCATCAAGTCTTGCCTGGCTGCTTTCGAGCTTTCAGACAAAAATGCAAAAGGAGACAAGACAAAGGTGCCAAGGATCCGAATTGGGAGCCCACAGACCTTAGTGACATTCAACGGCGAATGAATGACCGTGCCAACTACACATTGCCAGATTTCACCTCAAAGCTTGTGGCCTGCAGAAGTTCGTCCTTTGTTGAAGTGAAGATGGCTTTGCTGCGAGGCTCCATGGGTTTCATGAGCTTCTTCAGAGATGAAGAGGATTTCTGCAGTGATGTTGGCCAAGGAATGCTACCTCCAGCTGCTTCATCATGCTTTCGCCAATACTTCCAAACCAGCTTGCAAGTTCTGGTTTATATTCTCACGTCTGGTCTGGCTCACATTGCAGCAAGTGCTCTCATTTTTGCCCTTGCAACAGGCATGGTGGGTGCTCTTTTGGCTGAAGTTCGGGCAACCATTGAAAAGAACAAACAGGTTGATCCTTTGCTGCAAGTTGAAGCCTGGTACACGACGTGGCTCTCAAAAATGCAGACGGTGACAGTCTTGATGGATGACTTCAAGTTTCTGCCAACCTTCTTCATAACCTACATGATTGGACAAGATGTGAGTCGATGGCTTCAGTGGTTGCAAATCATGTTCAAGGTACAAGGCCGACTACATGACGTAGCTCTTGTGGTGGCGAGCTCGTATCGGAATATTAATGATCCTTGCAAAGGGAAGCTACAGAGACAAACACTTTTCAAATGGTACAGATACATCAATTCCATTCACTACATGGGCTATTTCAAGCTTGCACCAAGCATAGGAACCTCCGCAGATGGAGTTCTACAGGACCTCCGCACAGTTGGCTTGCTAAAGGATTCAGAGCTCCTTTGCTGCACATTCTTGAAACACTTGAAAACACACTCTTGATATTTTTAATATATTGATATATATATATATATTGATACATGTTCCATCATGTTTCTTGGTTTCAACATGGTTTAAAAGAACACTTTGAGACAAATCAAGGTGTCAGCAACTTCAATTTGCGACTGCAAAATTGCGGGACACTTTGGTCTCTTGGCTGGGCCATTTGTGGCATGAGGAGCTTGAGCGGGGACAGGTTCAGAGTGTCGACTCAGATGTCTTCATGCGAAAGGTCTGCGAGTTACGCGGAGTTTTGGCACAGCTCAGCGATATGCAAGACATGCAGATCAGCCAAATGGTTCGCGTCATGATGGTTGTCGTGACCAATATACTGCTTGGATTGGCCCTGATTGGCTACCCAACTAAGATGTATGAAGAAACGACTGAATGCTTCCAGTTCTGGCCGCTGGTGGCATCCTATCTCTATTTCATTTGCTATAGAGGAATGCTTCATGTCATGTTCATTCTGGACAAAGGACCATTCTATGCCAAAGGTGACTGTGTGAACATCGATGCCTTGTTGGTCAGCACCGAGCGATTCGTTTTTCACGTGTTTCGTACCTTCTTCAGGGGTCAGCAAAAGCATATGCCGCATTCAATGCTGCAGTGTGATCAGCCTTTCATGCCTGAAGATGTGTAAGCTTGGACTTTGCAAATTGTAATTGAACATTGGATGTGTAAACATTGTTGCATGCACGCAACGAAGATGCGATGCAACGCACAGTAGTTTTTCGACTCGAGCTTGTCAGTCAAACACCATGACCCAGTGTCCTCATACCCTCAACAGTACCTTGTCGCCGTAGCCAAAGCGTTGTTGCTTGATGCCTAGAACCGAGCTTGAGTGCAAGCCGCTTCCTAAGTTGCTTTGACAACAGGATGAATTGATCAACCTCCAAACTTGCAAAAGCAGAAGTTTGTATAGCCTGCATGCTGCACAGATGCTTTCCTGAGCAGGCCCAATTTTGCTCAGCCAATTTTACTTTCGGCGGGGACACCAGCTTGTGGAGCATAGCCAGAAGAGTTTTGAGTTTTCCTTGCTGGATCCTCATGATAAAATTCAAGAGAAGCCTCTTGCTGAACGCCAGTGAGATGCTGACTTCTGCGTTCCTTGATAGACTAGAATACGTTTAAGTACGCCGCAAAGGCACTCCACGTAAAATGAAAAGCAGGTGTAATTCTGGATCGTCACGTTTGTGGTTGATGGCTTGGTCAAAAGGGGAAGGCAAGAATCGCTCAGCTGATGTGAGTTTTGCCTAGCCAACTGGGCTCGGAGGGAGGCAAGCATTGCGCTTGCCTCCTGTGTTAGATCCCTTCCGCTTCAATGACGCGAGTGCCACTCTCAGACTCATCAGTTCGGTCAAAGAATGCCTTACCAGTAAGTTATTTAGTTATTTATATAAGTTTCCTTAAACATCTAGGAACAAGACGCTACTAGGGGCTCCTGGCATCGCTACTAGGAGCAAAGACGCTACTAGGGGCTCCTGGCCGTACTACTAGTAACAAGAACGCTACTAGGAACAAGACATTTCTACTAGTGCGAGCGTGTCTTCAAGGAAGCTCCCCCGGCCCCGCAGGTGGGGAGAGCTTCCTTGAAGAAGCGTGAGCTATCCTGCATCCTAGCTGGGAGCGAACTTCTCCTAGTAGCCTACTTCTCCCTTACTTAATTAAGTAGGAGCGGGCTTAAAGAGACTAACTATTAGGCTCAGATCAGTAGGCTCCTCAAAGGATCTATTAATTTGCGCGATGCCGCCAACTAAGATGCTCCATGTCGCCCTCTTCCTCGGTGTTTGGGGAGAAGCTCAGGCGTGATGCAGAAGTACATGAACTACATAATAGATATAACCTCCGTCAGGTCCAGAGGGCAGAATTGTAGGATTATAGGCAGATCTGATGTGTGGTGAGTGAAGGCATGTGGAAATGTGGTCATTTTGCTACACCTTTTGCCACATGCACGTACCCTGCCTGCATTCCATTCCTCCGACAACCACGATACCAAGTCCTACTTGGACCCAATGCGGCATGACGACAGGTCGTCCAGACGTGTGGCATCATGCGTTTCCGAAATACCAAGATCCGCGATACCCACAAAACGATACAAAGAACACCTCTCGCGTGACTCAGCTCCACCAATATCTTTCGCTATATCAACAAATTAAAAGCAAGCAGCTGAATTTGACCCCATGCCGTCCCAGCACATTCCCGAGGGCATCCCACCCACCGAGCAATTTTCTTTGATTGGAATTTCACAAGTTTCACAATGTACCTTTGCGCATCAGCTGTCACTTGTTAGTTTTAAAGCAGCTAAAATGAACACTGCAGCGGCAGTCCATGTGTGTTTGTGGTTGTTTGAATCGATACTCATCAATCACATGAAATCGTATCAACATGGACGGTATTTTTCCCCAACCATGAGGCGTTCCAAGCGACTTGCCTGGCTTCGGTGGACATGGAATGACGTGCAAATTTTATTGTATTAGTTGTTTGCTTTTGGTGTGTACGAGTAGTTGCTGTATAGCGAACAGTGAGCACAGGCACACACTGCAGAATATTTACATACCACACACACACACTACTGTAGGCAAGCCATTAGTAAGTATGTGATTGTAAGAGAAAGCTTTCAATGATTTTCAATGTGTTTCTTTATTTCGATCTCAGGCCATTCTTCGAGGCCAGCTCCAAGCTTTGTGAGTGCAGATATGTGATGCTGTGTTTCCTTCTATTTCTCCAAGGAACGAGGTGACGAAACCTGGCCGGAACAAACCATTGATAGCACTTGGTGCACAGGTCGTGGGACCAATGTTTGGGTTTGGGGATGAATGGTGCACTCGCCCAACCCAAAGTTCCAATGTCCTTTGGAGGCAAAGTTAGTTTGACCATCCCCTTTATGGTAGCATGATGTGGCATGCATTGCCTTGTGCACTACTGTATGCGTATACTGTAGGTTCCTAAGTGCAGTAGTGACCGTGACCCTGATTTCCAGGTCCAAGATCAGGTGAAGAGGCCAAACTTTTCCGGATGCGAAATGTTCGATTTTACACCACCTGGCAGCAACGGAGACAAATGGCACGACAAATGTCAATTGCTTTCCAGGTGCAGAGCCACTGGGAAGGAATGCATCGAGTATTGTCACGTGTGGAAGCATCCCTCTCGGGCCTGTTTGCCGTTGGGAAGGCCATGCTGGTAACTTGTACTTGTTTGTTTTGAGTGTCCGAGAGTAGAGACATTTGCACTTGGTACTCCATTGCATCCGACAAGGATCCAGCCAATTCAACAGCTGGGCTTCCAAGCATAGCTGAAGGCAGCTCTGTGAGAACGCAAATCTTGTCCATCAACAATGGATCCAATGCAACAAATCTCAGCACGCATCAATCCATACAGACTCAGACGAACCAGGGCAATGTCACGGTGGAGATTGAATCTCGTGATGTCACCCTGAGCAATGGCAATGCTTCATCTCCAAAAGCCAAAGTCATTGCACCTCCATTGCAGCCAAGCAAAGATGACTTTGTGGTACAGATTCGATCAGTGGAGCGTGTTGACGGCAAGAAGCCAATTAAGCCGAATCACAAAAGCTCAAAGAAAGCCAGTGAGACCGATGAGATCAGGAAAGCTTCTGCCCGGGAGAAGCGCTTGGATATTGAGGTCCGAACAGTCACAGAGACTCCCCAGACACACGAAGTGCCAGCTGCTCGGCGGGAGTACAACAGCAAGATGTGGGCAGATGACTGGGGTGCTTCTCTCAGTGGTTACCTACTTCTTTTGCTTTCCTACTTCTTTTGCTTAAGTTAGATTTAGATTTGTATGCCTTTTTGCCCTTGAGAGGCGATGAGTGGAGATCCAGTGCTCGCAGCCCAGAGACTGAAAAGAAGGACAGCGTAAGTTACCGCAGTTACTGTACTGGTCATGAAATACATTCGTAAAGGAACCTTCATGCTGAATGTTTTTTTTTTAGGAGCTCCCGGTCTATGAGCAGTCCTTTCGGGGTTGATGGGCCACAGTGTGGAGCAGTGGAGCACTGGATGAAATGTAGGACCAAAAGAAGCTTTGACTATCAACAGACTGCTTGGATCATTGTGATTTGTGGAGATACTGAGCGAACGTGCTGAAACATATCATGTTTGATGAATTCCTCCCCATTCGGCTCAAGCATGCGGTTTGTTGTTTTCTGTATCTTGCTTGGCATTGATGAATTCCAGGCTTGGCCTCTTGGTGCCCATTTTGGGGATTTGTCGAAACACACCCAAGCCTTTGAGGCTTCGTCTCTCGGTTTGCCCTTTCAGTGTTTGGATGGATCTGTCACTCTCCTTTCAAGTGATGTGAATGACAATTTCTGCGACTGCCCTGATGGATCTGACGAACCAAGCACTGCCGCCTGTGCTGGGCTGAGCAACCTTGGGTTCTACTGTAGAAATCTTGGATCTGCACCCAAGTGGCTCTACGCATCGCGCGTCAATGATGGCGTTTGTGATTGCTGCGACGGAAGCGACGAGCCACCATCAGGATGTCCAAGTTCCTGTGACAAAGAGGGCCCAGCAGTGCTGGCCAGGTTGAAAGCAAGGCAACAAGAGGTGCGCCAGGGCCAGCTGCTTCGCAGGCAATACGAAGATGAGGGCTTCCAGCAAGTAGTGCACTGGACTGAAGAGAAGGAACGATGCAGAGCTGAGCCTTCCAAACAACCTTTTATGGTGTATCCGGTGTCCGTCCGGGTATCCGACTTTCTTCTCCAAGGTCCATAATTAATTAGTCTAGATATATATTATATGTAGTCTTAATACTGTAAACCACTGTTTCCATCATGCCTTTCTTGTTCTTGATTGCAGTCTGAGCTTGCCTCAAGTCCCAACCAAGGGCTTGCAGCAGATGTTGCTGACCTAATGACCGTGCAAGTTGGCGACGCGCAGTCTTCACCTGACAGAGCCTTTGTAGGGTGTAGTTCCACTTCCACTGCTCCATTCTATACAAATGGACATGACAAAGAGCAGAGGAAGGATGTCTCGGAATATACTCGCTGGGCACTGCCGGTCTCAGAAACTGGGCCCCATCGAAGCTCCCAAAGCGTTGAGTGCTGGGTGGGCGAATTTATCAACGCAGAGAGCTTTTGTTGTGATGCTTCTCAAGGACCTCAGGGGCGACAAGAATGTTGGGATGAAGTTTATACCTTTCAGTCCTGCTGCAAGACCTGGCAACGCCAAGTCTTGCCGACGTTTGAAAGACAGAGTTGGTCGACGTCGGAGTCAGTCTCACCTGAGAGACGTTTTGAGCCGAAGTCGTCGAAGTCAGTCTCCAGAGAGATGCGACAAACGAAAGGTCGACTTTTCAGCTTGGAGAGCAAACTAAGGGCAGTGGAAAGGAGTCATCGATGGTTCTACTTGGCTGACACATGTTTGACACGCCAAACGCACCGTCGGCACACTGAACTCAGTATTCCTGGTGCTTCTTCGGAGCGAGTGGACTTTAAGCTGTGTCTCTTCGGTGATGTGCGCTTTGGATCCGTGAACTATGGAAGTTTTGACGGCTGGGACGGAGAGCATGGCCTGCGCTACAGTCGGGGTCAGCATTGTCCAGGTGGGCCGGCAAGGTCACTGAAAATTTGCCTTCTGTGTGGAGCAGAGACAGAGATGCTCAGAGGCAAGTCAGCCAAGTAGAATAGTTGTTGAAAAACATCTCCGATAAATACAATTAAAAATATATATATATATATAAATTTATCAAAGGAAGTTTAGTGTACGAAACTTCCGTGTTACGGACATTCAAGAACTGTTCATACACCACTCATCAATACACTACTCATCATACGCCACTCATCAATACATCACTCATCATACACCACTCATCATACACCACTCATAATACACCACTCAACATACACCACTCATCATACACCACTCATCATACACCACTCATCATACACCACTCATCATACACCACTCAACATACACCACTCATCAACACACCACTCATCATACACCACTCATAATACACCACTCATCATACACCACTCATCATACACCACTCA